CCAATGATTGGCTCTGATGTGCCAACCGGACCCCTAATTGTTTTAAAAGTGGACAATTCAGTGGTCTTTAGAACAGTTACAGAATTGTGAAGCCATCACCAGCATCTAATTCCAGAACACTTTCGTCACTCCAAAAGGAAACCCCATACCTATTAAACTATCACCCCACCTCCCTCCCCCAGTCCCTGGCAACCACTAACCTACCTTTTGTCTCTGTGGATGTGCGTGTCCTGGACGTTTCACATAAATGGAATCACACACTATGAGGCCTTTTGTGTCTGGCTTCTCTCACTGAGCGTCATGTGTTCCAGGTTCATCCATGATGTAGTGGGTGTCAGTGCTTCACTCCATTTTTATAGCCTTTTTTCTGCTCCTCCTTTTCCCCAAACTGCCTCAGAGGTCTAAAATTCCAGGGCTGGTGTGCAGACTACTCACCCAGCTGACCCCCCTGGGCAGAGGCAGCACAGAAAACCTTTGTGAGGCTACATCTCGGGGGCTGAGGCAGGGAGGGGTCAGTGGAGGGAGGTAAGAATCGGGGAGCCTGTGGTGCGTGGGTTGTAGGTTTGGGGTTGGGCTTCCAGGAGGAGGGAAGTCTGGGTACGTGGCTCTCCCTGGTGACTGGAATGACTGTGGAGGCCTGGCATGTCAGGCACGATGCCCCAGCTCACCTGCAGAAGGCGCCCAAGCTGCGCTTTGCATGTTCAGGTCATGGACTCCAGTGTTCAGTGGTGAGTCCTCACCTCTCTGCCCTCCTCTTCCTCCAGCCCAAGCTGGGCCGGGTCCAACCAGGGTGGGCTGTACCTAGGCCACTGGTGGGGTCCCCTGAAGGACCTCTTAGTGCAGCCACTGGGTATCCGTCTGCTCTGTGGAGCAGTGTTGCCCCAGCCCTGTCACTCTGGATTGTCTGTTGTGTCCAGTATGTTCTCCCAGGAGGTCTCATTGGGGCCTCCCTGCCCCAGCATCCACCACAGCCAGAGTCAGAAGGGGTGTCTTGGTCCCTGCCTGCCCCGGTGCTAGTGTCCCTCCTCCAGGTGTGATTGGCCATGCACGATCTGAACCCTGTGTGGGCCTCCCGGAGAGCTCTGCATGGCTCAGAGGAAGACCCTCCTTTCTGAATCCCCTTCAATCCCCACTCTCCCTCCTTGTGTCTGGCCAGCAGGCTTGGTAGTGAGCTGCCTCCCCGGGCCACTTCCCTTTTCCTGGTCTGTCTGATCGGGGCTCTGACAAGATTGTGAGTTATTGCCTAGAAGAAAGCAGCCACCAGCCCCATGAACACCCCCATGGCCCCCACAGAGCCCCCATGAAGCTCACCAGCTACCGAGCAGTCCTGTGGGTGGACTGTGGCTCCGGCTGTGGCATCCTCCCTCCCTGGATAAGCAGGTACCCCCTCCCCTCCAAGGCCAGTGCCGTCACCGTGCTGGGGGATTTGGCCCAGCTGCTTTGCTGGTGTTTTCCCTGTGGGGAAGAGGTGTGTATGTGCGACTCACAGTCCTCCTGGCAGAGGGTACAGGTAACCTGGGGTGTTCTGAGTGCCAGGAAGCTGCGCATGGCACTGGGAAGATGCCATGGGGGATGCGCATGAACACTAAGGGTCAAATGACAAAGTTGGACCCCTGTCTCATGCCATATACAGCCACTAACCCTAGGTGACCACAGACCTAAATGTGAGAGCTGAACCAACAAAAACCTCAGGAGAAAACACAGGCATAAGTATAAACTGATGGCTGAGGCAGCGCTGTCCACTAATGTGAGGCAGCCCCTTGCATAATTTAAAATTTTCTAGTAGTCACGTGAAAAGGTAAAAGGAAACAAGTGAAATTAATTTGAATAATGTATTTTATTGAAACAAAATACCCAAAATATTATTGTTTCAACATGTAATCAGTATAAAAATTGTATTTTACACTTGACATCTTGGTGTATTCAACACTGGACATTCCAGTGCCTTTCACATTCTGACATCCTTTGTCTCTTTCACACTACACATCCTGGTGTATTTCACGCTCAGCGCTGCTGCTGCTGCTGCGAGGGGCCTCCACAGGCTGGCCCTTGGGATGGAGGCTGGCCCCTTCCCAGCCCATCAGAGTTTCTGGGTCTGTAAGCCTGTGGCTGGGGAGACAAGGCAGACCCAACACAAACCAACTACAACCATGTGAGGGGTGAGTGAGGAGGTTGAGACCCACCAGAGTGGAGTGTAGCTGCAGGAGATCCCTTTGGGGCGGGGGCTGGGAGGCCCTGGGGCTTTCATGGAGGTGGTGGGAATGAGCCTGTGCTTGGAGGAGAAGGAGGCCGTGGGTCTGCCTGGGCAGCACGGGTGACCGTGGGGAGGGCAGGGCCAACTCCTGGAGGACTTGTGTTTGGGGTGCTGTGGGGAAGTGAGAACAGGCTGAAAGCCCTGTTCTTGAGACTCTGGTTGAGCCACTCCAGGATGGTAGGCTGCATGGCCAGCCCACAGAGTGTTGGGTGGCCATGGATGTGGCCCAGTCCTTCCTGTGGTCCCTTGCACGCAGCCTCTTTGATGGGAGCTTGAGCCCTTGCCCTGCCAGAAAGGGCAGAGGGTCCTGAGGCCGAGCCCATGGCAGTGCGTCTGTGGCGTGGATGCCGGCCATGCTGGGGGGCTGTGAACTTGGGACTTGAGATGTTTCCATGAAGGGAGTTAGGGGACCATGAAATTCTGCCTAGGCCATAGGAAAGCCCAGGAGAGAGACTCGTTTACAAGCATAGTTTGTAAATAACATCCCACAGCTGAAGATGTGTGGGTTTTGTTCGTTTGTTCGTTTTGTTTTTGTTTTTTTTCAGAGAGAGAGAGAAATGGAGAAGAGGAGAGAGAGAAGCATTGATCTGTTTCTCCACCCATTTATGCATTCATTGGTTGCTTCTTGTGTGTGCCCTGACCAGGGATTGGACTGGCAACTTTTCGCGTTGTGGGACAATGCCCAACCAAGTGAGCCACGCCGGTTGGGGCTGCAGACAGTTTTAAATGGCCTGAAGTCTCGAGGTGGGATGGCCGAGTGGGACTGGCAGCTAGAGGCTGCTCCTAATGCACTAGGCCTGACTGGGTTCAGATGCTGCCTCTGTTGAGTCTATGTCCTTGTCCTAAAGTGGGGATAACAGTGGAGGTTTCTGCTTCAAGTGTGGGTGCCATTAACTGAATGTATGCGTGAAAATCCCCTAGCAAGTAGTTCCCTTCGATTATGCCCCTCGGGGATGCTGGGCATTGTCTGGGGATATCTGTGGTTGTCACATGGGGAGTGCTCCTGGCATCTAGTAGGTGGCTGTCAGGAATGCCGCTCACCCTCCCATAGCGCTCAGGATGGCCCCCTGCAGAGAAGTCCTGATTGCGAGCGCACCTGGCCCAGAGGTAGCCTTCAGTAGATTACAGTGATGGTTTTTCTCTGGGCTTCTGTTCTTTCCTTGACTGTGAATCGAGGTGTTGCAATAGAAGGTTCTAAAATCACTTTCCATTCTAGAACAGCCCATGGTTTTTGGTGCTGCTGTTCCATATTTCTGCTGGGAAGGAAGTTAAGGAACAATTGAGGTTATTAGAAGCCACCTTGAAAATAAGTTGGTTTTTTTTCTGGAGTTTCTTTATTTTAATGGGGCAGGTAGGAGGTTTTTGATAGTATTTTATGGACTAGGAAGCTGGATGGTGTTCCTGGGGGAGGCTCTGCCAGAACGCAGAGCCCTGCTGCCTGTTCCGAATGCCTCTTCAGGTTTTTTCCTCCAGTGAACTTGGGGTATGCCGTGGAGCCACCAGCCCAGAGCGCTGTCATCCTGGGGTGAATGGTGCCTCAGACCCATGTGAGGGCTGGGGCGGGACTGTGGATTTGCAGACTGACTCCTGGCAGTGAGAGGGCTGGGTTAGGTTTCACGTTCTTCAGCTGTCCCCACTTGGGCTCAGGTGTCCTAGGTGCAGCCACCATGAGACCAGATACCTGGAGACGCTGCCTCAATGTTCTAGCCCCTGTTCCCTGAAGTCCCAGGTCTCCTGGATTCATTAATTTGACTTTTAGCCAAAAGAAGTCCTGACAACTTTGTGACTGGCCAAGTTGCAGTGGCTGTTCCCCTAGTAAGACTCCTAGAGAGATCTTCATTATAAAACTATCTTTATGACATAAAAATCAGCAGCCACAGCAAGGCAAAAGAAAAACAATACAGGGCACCTGTAGTCCCTAGTGAGCTTCTGATGTATGTGTGCAGTCAATATGGAACTTGTGTGGGTCTCTCTTTGTGGTCTGGGGGTCCAGTGGTCGCTTTGGGGGTGACAGGATGTTTTTCTTGCCCTGAGAGGCTGATGTGGTCATTGAGGAGGCAGGAACCCCCTCGTGGGGCTGGTGCTGTGGCCCTTTGACCAACAGGCAGGGGGTTCTGTCTCGTAGGCCTTGCGCCTGGGAGTGCTGGGACTCAGAGTGGTCAGGGTCAGGTAAGAGCGAGGGAGTGGACGTTGCTCAGTCACCTTGACCCCCTATGCACTGCGCAGGTGAGAGGTGAGTGTGCATGCAAGACTGGGCCTGATCGAGCACCACACTCCCCTTCTTCTGCCTATAGTGTCAGCTGAGAATGTTCTTCCCCAGGTCAGTGGTTTGGCACTGAGCCTGGGCTGGGCTCTGGGGTGAACTTGAGTTTGGGCTGAAGGAGGTCTGACAAGAGTGGGTGTCTCAGAAAACTGCCAGAACCTTCGGGTCTTTGCCTTGGAGCAGCCCCACAGTAGCTTGATGGGCTTAGAGAGGGCCTGTTCAACTCTGATTGGTCCCCTAAATCTGACATTGCACCCGGAGGTACAGGTGAGTCTGGTGGGAAGCAGTAAGGGCTGTGGAACTTGGTAAAGTTTTCCCTGGAAAGGAGGGCTTTCCTGGGGTCCTATAGCACGCCCTAGGTATAGGACCCCCTAGCAGTCCAGACACTCAGGAAGGCCAGGGGACTTTTAGGGGGACCAGCATCTCTGTGGCTTCCAAGGGGCCTCCTGGGCCTCATACTGAGGCAGCCTTGGGTTTGAAGCCTGGAACCAGAGCTCACAATGGGACCTGAGCTTCCAAATTCTGTCATTGCCACTGACTTGGGGTGAACAACACAGGCACTTTGGGCCGTGGTATCCTCATGTACTTTCCTTGCCAATGATGACACGCCGTAAATGGAGCAGTGCATGTTCATAAGTGCTCGGCATGGGAGCTGTCACCCCTGCTGCCAAGTAGAAGCTTCAGTGGTATTCTTACAGCCGGCTTACTCCACCAGCCCCAGCTGTGCAGGAGACAAAGGTGAACTATACCCCCGATGGCTTGGGAGCCTGCTTTTAGATGTCTTCGTGTTTATTGTGCCCAGTTAGGAGCCAAGTAGCCAGCAAGAAACGACGGCCACTATGTGATGAAGATGAGAAAGAGATTTGATTGGAGAACTTGAGAAGTGATGCTTCTTTAAACTGGGTGGACACTGAAGGCCTCTCCCAGATGACATTTGAGCAGAGATGTGAATGACTTGAAGGTGCTAGCCATGAGAAGATCTGGGACATGAAGCTCCACAGGGAAGAACAAATAGCAGGTGCAAAGATCCTGAGGTAGAAATGAGCTTGGTATGTTTGAGGACGAGAAGGAGGATGGCGTGGCTGAAGTGTGATGAGCTCGCAGGAGAGAGCACTAGGCCCTGAGGTACACAGAGGCCAGACTGGGTGTACCCTGTACTTAGGCTGTGGTGAAGCAGGGGGGAGCCTTGGGAGGTGGCGATGATGTCAGAGATTTATGTTTTAAAAGACTCCTCTGGTGGCTGGCAGGAGTAAAAGCCGGGACGAAACTCCAGCCATCATCCAGGGTAGCCATGACCCCGTGACCATGGCTCAGAAGAAGGTGGTCTGGGTTGAGGGTCATGGGGGCTGGACTTGGGGTGGATTTTGGAGGCAGCAGACCTTCTAGGCCTCATGAGTAGAATGGATGTGAGGGAAAGAGGAATCAATTCTGACTCCCAGGTCGGAATAGCTGGTTTCAGTCTCCAGATCCACCACTCCATCCCCATCATCCACCGTCAAAACTAGGAAATTGACTTGGCCACAACATGCTGCAGCCTCATTGAGATTTCACCGTTTTTGTCATTCACTCCTTTTTTTGTATGTCTTTGTGACATCTTATCCCCTGCGTAGATTTGTGTAGCTACCATCACAATCAGGATAGCAAATTGTGCCTTCAACATGAACAAAGTCCTTCATGCTCCCCTTTTAAAGTCCCCCCCACTTCTCGCCCCCAGCCTCCAGCAACCACTTGTCTGTTCCTATCTCTATAATCGTATCATTTTGAGAATGTTAGGGAATCCTACATCATATGTAAGCTTGGGGGAGCAGCTTTTCTCACTTGAGATCTATCCCTGTTTTTGTGTTTTATCAACAGTCCATTCTCTTTTATTGCACAGTAGTGTCCACGCCAACATTATTTTATGATCCTTTTTATTTATGTAAGGTGGGGCAGTAGTGCTAATGCCCCATCTTTCACTCCTGATTTTAGCAGTTTGAGTCTTCTTCCTGTTGTGTGTGTATGTGTGTTTGTGTGTGTGTTTTGCCAATTTTATTGATCTTTTCAAAGAACCAATTTTTGGTTTAGTTGATTTTCTTTTTTTTTATTTTGTTGATTTCTGCTCTAAACTTTATTATTTCCTTCCTTCGTTCCTTTTCTTTCTTTCTTTCTTTCCTTTCTTTCTTTCTTTCTTTCTTTCTTTCTTTCTTTCTTTCTTTCTTTCTTTCTTTCTTTCTTTCTTTCTTTCTTGGGTTTGGTTTGCCCTTCTTTTTCCAATGTTTTAAGGTATAAGTTTAAAAGTATTGAATTGAGATCATTTTTAAAATATAGGCAGCTATCAGTTTCCCTTTAGGTACCACTGTAGTTGCATCCTCTAAGTTTTGGTTCGTTGTGTCCTCCTTATTTTAATTTTCAAAGTAGTTTCTAATTTCTCTTGTGATTTCTTCTTTGAACCATGGTTGTTGAGTTTGTTGTTTCATTTTCACATATTTTTGAATTCCCAAATTTTATCTTTCAGAAAGAGCATCATTCTGTTACTGATTTCTGATTTCCATTGTGGTCAGAGGACTTAGTTTTGTGTGCCTTCAATTCTTTTTAATGCAATGAGGGTTTTTTAGCTTAATATGTGGTTCATTCTGGAGAGGGTTCCATATGTACTGAGAAGACAGTATAATTTCCTTCATTAGGTAGAGTTTTCTATAGATGTCTTTTGGCTTATAGTGCTGTTCAAGTCTTCTTTTTGTTGATCTTCTGCCTAGTTGTTTTACCCATTGTTGAAATTGGAGTATAGCTGTCTTCAACTCTTATTTTTGAGTTGTTCATTTCTTCTTCCATTTCTGTCAGATTTTTGCTTCATATGTTTAGACCTTTGTTACTAGGTGCATATATGTTTATAATTGTTATGTATCTTCCTGATGGATTGGCCCTTATATTATTATTTAATGTTCATCTTTATCTCTACTAAGATTTTTGTGTTAAAGTGTTATTTGTATAACCACTCAAGCTTTCTTATGTTTGCTGTTTGCATGTTATACCTTTTTCCATTTTTTCACTTTCAGCCTATTTATATCTTTCAATCTATTTAACTTCATTTTATTTATTTTTTTAGAGAGAGGGGAAGGGGGCGGAGAGAGAGAGGAATAGAGAGAAACATTGGTGGGTTACTCCACTTATTTATACATTCATTGGTTGATTCTTCTGTGTGCCCTGACTGGAGATTGAACCTGCAACCTTGGCACACTGGGATGGCACACACAAGCCAGGGCCTGTGTCTTTCACTGTAAAGAGTGTTTTCTATGGACAGCATGTAACTGATCTTGGTTTTTGTTTTTTTTTCCCTCCAGTCTGGCAATCTCTGTCTTTTCATTGGATTGTTTAATCCATTTACATTTAATGTCATTATTGATCCAGTTGGATTTATATCTGTCATCTTTTTTGCTTTAAGTCTCATGTCTTTCCCCACTCTCTTCCTCCTTTATTGCTTTCTTTTGCATTAAGTGAATATTTTCTACTATAACATTTCAATTCCTTTAATGATTTTTGTCACTCTACTTTGGAAGTATATTCTTTATGGTTGCTCTAGGCCTTATCATATACATTTTATTGGAATCTACTTCTGATTCCCAGTATTATTTGAAGCAGACCTTTGCTGATTTTATTTGAACAATTCTTAATTAGGAATAAACTCACTTGATTGATTCAGTGACTTGGGTTTGGGGTTTCTCAAGGGTGCTGATGTGTCCACTTGCCTGAACAACGCCCTTCTTTTGTTCATTCCTCCTTACATTTGGTGACGTGAACGTCTCAGAGCCCTCTTAGAACCTGTAATGACTGAAACTACTTGTGAGGCTCTGCCATGTCAGGACCAGGCTTGGGAAGGTGCCAACCCTGTGTGATTGCCCTCTTTGTAGTTCTGGCCTCTTCCTTGTCCCATCTAAGCTGACCGGTTTGTGGCCCTGATTCTACCACAGGACTCCAAATCTAGGTTAGTGTGTCACGCCTACTTGGAGGCAGGTCTTTGGGCTTTAAGGAGTGTTTATTACTCAGCTCTGAGATCAATCTGTAGAAGTCCAGCAAGGGATTCTGCTTAGATTGTTGACTCCTCTTAGAGCCCAGGAGGGCTGCCTGAGGGGTGGCAGGCAGGATGGTGCCTGGCAGAGAGCCAGGGGCAGATGGAACAGGTGCTCCTTGTCACCGGCAACATGGGCAGCCACAGTGTTGGATATGCTTAGTTGAATCTTCAAACTACCATCAAATTTTTGATTAGAATTTTGGGGAGCTTATGTGCATTTATTTTCTGGTTGGTACTTTTTTAAAATAGCAGCTTTGTTAAGTATAATTCACATGCCATACAATTCACCATTTTAAAGTGTATACTTCAGTAGTTACTAGTATATTTATGGTTGTGCAGCCATCACAGCTCTCTCATTCCAGAACTTTTTCATTACTCCAAAAGGAAACCCCATGCCTGTAAAACAGGCACTCCCCTTTTTCCAGTCCCTGAAGACCACTAGTCTACTTTCTATTTCTGTGGCTATACCTGTTCTGGACATTTCCTATCAAAACTGTCATACAATATGTGGCCTTTTGTGTCTGGCTTCTCTACAAGCATAATGCGCTCAAAGTTCATCTGTGCTGTAGCAGGTGTCAGAACTAACTTCCTTTTTAAGGCTGAATAATATTCCGTTGTATGGATGGACCACATTTGACATTTTTAATTGTTATTTATTTATTTATTTTTATTAATTGAATTTATTGGAGTAACATTGGTTTGCAAAACCATACAGGTTTCAAGTGTACAACTCAGTAAAACATAATCTGCACACACACTCACATTTTGTTTTTTCATCTGTCGGTGGACATTTGGGTTGTTGCCACTTTTTGGCCATTGCAAATAATGCATAAAATGCATAATGTGAACATTTATGTATGAGTTTTTGTGTGAACATGTGTCTCCATTTCTTTTGTGTAGATACATAGGAGTGGAATTGTTGGGTCAGTCGGAAACTCCATGTTTAATGCTTTAAGAAACCTCCAAATTGTTTTCCAAAGTGGCTGCATCATTTTTAGTGCCAGCAGCCTATGAGGGTTGGCTTGGTATTTTAAATTTGAATTAGGTAAGGAGTAGGTAAATTTGAATTAGGTAAACTATCACCATAATTGTTTCGGTGGTAGTTTAATCCTAGGACACATTGCTTTTCCCCTGAGATCGCTCCTGTCTGCCCAGATGGACCAGCCAGTGAGCCGCTGGAGGGACAGGATCTCTGGGTCCCACAGACTGCCCTCGAGGTGAGCTCTAAGTACTCTTTGTTTTTATTACAATATCGTCAGTAAAGACAGAAGTCTGTGTGAATTGCAAATTCCCTCAGATCCTGAAGGCTGTACACTCATCACTGAGTCAGGCAGAAGTCTTTCTAGTTCATTGACTACATACTCCTGTGTTTTTATGTGGGCATGTATGATTTCCTTGCCCATTTTCTTGTTAATGGGCATTTATATTATATATATATTTTAAACAGTGCTGCAGCGAGGATCCTTGCTGTTACCTCCTTGAAGTGAACTCCTGTGATTGTGGTAGCTCAGAGCATGGACACCTTTTTTTAAAAAAAGAGTTTATTTATTTATTTTTAGAGAGAAGGGAAGGGAGGGAGAAAGAGAAGGAGAGAAATATCAGTGTGAGAGAGAAACATCGATCGTTACCTCTTGTACACACCCCAACCAGGGACTGAACCCGCAACCCAGGCATATGCCCTGGCTGGGAGTTGAACGAGCGACCTTTTGCTTTGCAGAATGATGCCCAACAACTGAGCCACAACTGAGTCAGGGCTGGACACCTTTATTATTCTGAACATGCTACTCACTTGTCCCCAGAAAGGTGGTCTGGATCGACCTTCCTATAACAGCTGGAGGCTCTCATCATACTAGTGACAGCCCCAACTTTGTTTCTTCTTTTAATCTATTACCTATTAGCCCCTGCTTTTTTGAATTGCCAGTTTATAGCCATTGCCCACTTGTTATATTGGGGTGTTTATTTTTTCTTGA